TGTTTCCATTAATCAGTCACATGGACAATTTAGGTTCATACTAATATCCATACACAACTCACATATTCCATAAAACTTCATATTGAAAAAATTAAAGTACACTACATGAATAGTAATTAATGCATGAACAGTAATCCATAAACAGTAATCCGTGAACAGTACACATGAACAGTACACACATAAATAGTAATTATGTGAACAATAATTGAAACTAGCAATTGCTCCAAGCTTACGCACAGTTTCAAAGATCAATTGATTATGTAAATTCTAACTTAATCACACAAGGTATACAAACAATAACAATAGTACTAATCAATAAAATCCACACCAAATCAAGTATGAAAAAAGGAAAAATGACTTATTATCTATCCCATACAAGCCTCAAAAATTAAAAATATTTCTAATGAAATTTTAATGCCCAAAAATCTTATAAACTAAAGGATTTGGGTCAAATCTCATCAATTTAAACTACTCAAAACTCTAGCCCCAAATTCATAACTAAAACTTATACTTACTTGGAAAGCAAAGCACCAAGTTGAAGAGAACTGTAGAAATTGAAGAGATTTCAACATGAGAGTGTATCCTACACATTAATCTTGGCTGGAAAAAGAAGGGAGAAATAGGCAGGGGACCGACTGAAAAAAGAAAGATGCAAAGAAAATGGGTTTTGGGAGGATAAGTTCAAAAGAAAAAGGTTTGGCTTTCTAAAGTCTTCTAGAGAAACCCCCGATGACTTGGTTCATAAATTGCCACATGTCTTAAATTTGGTAAATTTAGTTAAATAGTCTCTAATTATCTCATAATTTCACATAAGGTTCACATATTTCAATTCTAATCAACTTAATCCTTAAAATGTTAAAATAAAGGATTCTAATTTTTAATTTATTCGTTAAAGTATATAAGGTGTTACAATAATATCATAAGTTGTAACAAAAATCATTATCTAATAACAATTTTCAATCATTTCATAAACTAAAATTTATTAGTAATAATAGTCATTGATAAAAGTGATATATAATAACAACTTTAGTTATTTTGATTAAACAATAATAAGTGATAACCTTATGATGGAAAATTACCACATCCAACCAAAATTTAGCATCTTAGCATCAGCACAATTCTAAATTAAACAATAACCTTACAAGAGTATAAACAGAACCTTAGCATCATAATTAAGACAACAACTCCAGGTATTTCAAAACTAGATACCTATGTTACAACATGACTGGGTACTAGTAATTCCTCACCAAATAAGTTCCCAATTATAAGATTCCCATTTGAAGGACATTCCTCCTTATGATGAATCTCATTAATCAATTTATCAAGCATATAAAATTAAATATCACCTGTTTATATATACAATTTTTTCAACAAAAAATATGACCTTACAAAGCCAACAATTTCTGTCAAGCACATTTGGCAAACAAAAACTTGGTCTACAACTTGTTCTAATATATCATTTTCTTTAATCTTACAAGAAAAATCCTTTGAGATTAATTGTTTTTATTCCAAACATTTCTCTATCTTAAAACAAGAATTTTAAAACTACTAAAACCATAAAAAGACAACCTGAAATAAGTTAGAATAGTTTCTTCAACTAGTGCAAAATGGTCAAAGATTATGGATTCAATAATGCCATTATTAAGGCTCTAAGATAGCCATTTGTCTGATTACTTTACAGCTATATCATTCTAAGAAAAATGTACCTTGAAAAAGTGCAAGTGAAAGAATTGAAAAAACCTAAGTTGGCTAGCAGTGGCTAGATAAAAGTATTTTAGTAAAGTTCCTAATTAACTAATGCTTAGAAATAATTAATCTCACAAAATCAACATTACCAGAATAGTTTTATTGAAAACTAAACCTTTGGAATTGTCAATATTCAGAAAATTTTAGGAATAACTAATGTGTTTGAAAAAAAATGCAATGCATCTTAATAATAATAATGGAAAAAATAAGTTTGGTAGGTGTTTAATTTAAGAATTATGAACTTCCAGTTGCCTCCAAGTACACAAAAATAGATGAGCCACAGCAACAAACAACAATAGAGAGATAGGTATTGCTTGCATATGATGCATCTTGGACCCTATAAAAGTAATATATTATGACCACTTGCTATGAGACATGGGGAATGATCTTATTCTGTCACTTTTCCATTGTTTTTCTATCCAAATTCTTTACTTAGTACATATCCTATGCAACTCTTTTCTCAAGTAATATAAGGCTCTACTATCCTAAATCGTCAATCACTCTGGTAAGGGAAAAAAGAATCCAAATAACCAATACAACAAGTGATTAGGCTCCATCCAACTAACGTAAACAATAACCAAAATTATCAATGCAACTAGATCATCCCATTTAAATGTCTTATTATATATAAAAAAAGGGGGAAAAAATAAAAGGCCTAAATATTACTTCCATTGTCTTATATCAGGACCTTCTTA